TCCAACCGGTGGCTTTTGTCCATGGCCGCCGAGCACACTAACACAGCCTGGGCACACTAACACAGCTTGGAAGGCTCTGCCAGAGGCTCACAACTGCTCACTGCTCTCCATGCCACGTCGGCACAGGGCACCTCCTCACAGAAGCCTTCCCCAGCCACCCTACCTGGACGCAGCAGTCCCCTCCCCACCATTCTGCACTGTCCTCCTTACAGCACTGGTCATTGTACCTGAAATGCTCTGAGTGTGTTTCCTGTCTGTCTCCTGCCACCTGAGCACTGGCAGGCAGGGACTCTGCACCTCCCGCTGCACCTGGCATGTGCAGGTACTCCGTAAATACCGGCTGACAGACCAACTGACTCGGCTGCCCACGCGACTGGCAGCTCCTCGAACTCACTCAGCTTTGCACGGGTTGTTCCCTCTCTCTGGGACGCTCCTTTTTCCTGGCTGTACTCCTACGTACCCATCACAACCAGCTTACCTGCCCTCTGAAGCCTCTCGCCCCTTCCCAGCAGCATGGAGCATGTCCTCTGTTTACCCGCACCTCCTCCACTGCCCCCAGTTATTGGCCCTGGTCGTGATAGGGAGCTCTCTTTCCACCCCACCTCAAACTGGACAGTCCGCTGAGGGCAGGGACTGACCTTATTCACCTCTGTATCCTCCAAGCTGAGCCCGGCCTGATAAAAACCCAGCTCCTCAACAGACGTGTACTGAATGGGATGCACATCCTTTCAGTCGTCAGAGCAGGTGACACCACAGCCATGCAGTTTGGGAAGGGAACAGGGAAGCGGGGAATATGTGTTCCCCGACTTCCCCTAGAAAATTATTTTCAGTGGGAAACACAATAGGATTGTTCAAAGTACATGGAATCGGTTATGTAAATTATGAAATAGCCATAGTTTTTTCTTTACAAGAGTATAAAAACAGAATCACAAATTTTTTTTGAAGGCTGAAAACTAAGCAAGCTATAAGCCCTGAGAACACCAGGGAGAAAGGTTTCCTCATGCCCCAGGGTTTGAGGGGCACCACCCCAGAGGCAGGGGTAGGACTGGGTGAATTTCAAAATCCTCTCCACTCTGGGATTGGTTCCCTACTGGTCACATGTGGCCAACTGTAGATGGGAAAGATCTTGCTGAAACCCCAATACTGCCTCTGCCCCATCCCCTAAATATGGGCTGGCAGCAGGGAGCCAGCAGGGAAATTCTAGGGAGTGACCCTGCTCCTGCTCCTGTACAGTCTGAGGCACAGTGAGGCAAGCAAGCCCTGGACTCACCTGCTTCTGGTGGATGGTCTACATGTTGGCGTGTTGCTTGCACAGTCAGGAAGTGGAAGAGGACCCACAGGGAGCAGGGAAAGCCCCGGAAGTGTGGCTCACTCCCCTGGCAGCCAACCCAGTTCACCTTCTTGGCAAGGACCATCCCCTAAGGGAAACGTATGAGTGTGAATGCACATATGGAGGTGGGAAAGGCTGGGATGAGGGGATGAAGAGAGAAGCTTCCAGGAGACTCAGCACACAGCCCTGAAACAAGTGACGTCCCTTTCTCACTCTATTACCTTGAGGGTGGTCCTTCTCTTCCACTGACTCCACCCATGGAAGGTGCAGCAGATCTGAAAACTTGTGACATGGATCAAGTCACATCCTAGTCTAGCCTCAACTTCCCCATCTGTAAAACCAGGGGGTGGGTCTCTGAGATCCCTTCAGACTTTGACATCTTACAAGTTTATAGGGTTTTGCGTCTCTGCTGGCTGCGGTGGCCCACCTCTGTATAGAGCAGCGTGAGCAGAAGCCCAGAAGGCTGCCCTGGAGAGGGCCAGAGAAGCCATGCTGAGGAGAAGAGAGGAGCAGTTAAAAACTCTGGTGTCTCATCAGTTTTTAACGCCAGCCCACCCACTTACTGGCTGTATGGTCTCGGTGAAGTTACTTAACCTCTCTAAGCTCAGTTTCTTCATCTGCCAAATGGGGATGATATCCACCTTCCACTAACGTTACAGGATTAAATAAGATATACTTGTAGAGAGCTCAATAAACAGCAAGCAGTTTATTAATTGGTAATGGAAGGATCCAACCAAGCTCACTGACTCCCACCTGAATGAAAACTGGTGGAGGAGGTCAGAGATTTCAGTGTTAACCCTGCCTCCCATTTTCATAAATATCAAGGATAAGGAGATCTTTATTTGCGCCGACTCACCTCCTTCCTGCTGTCCAGAGCAGCTTTAAAGGAGCTGTAGAGAATTTTCTTTCTCTGTTGCCTCTTGAGCCATTCATTCATAGAGTGCAGGAAGTTCTGGACTAAGGGCTGGCCAGGGAAGTACTGTGGGGAGGAACAGTGAAGTGGGAGAGTGAAAAGCCATCTCCTCAGAGGTGCACAGTTTGCAGAGGGTAGGGACTGTGCAGAAGTAGGCCACAGAAGTTTTATGCAATGTTCCAAAATGAACAGGAAAACATTCTGCCTGAGGCACAAATGTGGATTCCTCACTACCTCTGCTCTGGGGTACCTGGTAAGACTAGAGAAAGGGGCTAGAGAAAGGAGAGGCTTTAAGCAGGGCTGGGCTCTGAAAGTCACCTTCTCTTAAGGCTTCAGGCTCCCATGCTGACTACATGCCACCACGTGGTGAGCTCATTTCAGCAGCACTGGGAGGAAGGCCTGAGCACTGTGCCACTTCCCAGGGCTGCTGGGAACACTGGGCCACACGGTGCTCTCTTCAGGTGGTGTTCTGATAGATGCTGACATGCCAACTGGCTGACCGGCCAGGTTAGGCTGGCAAAAGACCCTTCATTTGTATTCCATGGGCTGCTGGTGGGGACAGGCCATCCCAGGGTCTTATAGCCAAGATCCAAATCTTGATGGTAACTCCCAGTGGTCTCTGAGCAGCATGGAAAGCTACTTTGACAATAAGTCAACTCAAATCTGATTAGTATCAGCACTTTAAAACCACAGGGACTCCAGGGAGGAGGAGATGTGTGCACACGTGTGCGCAGGCACAGGCACACAATGTGGGGGAGGAAAGAGCAAGACGGACGCAGCAGCAGAGCAGGGCAGATAAAACCACAAAGGGGCAGGCCGGGAAGACAATGCCCCTGAGAAATGTGCAGGGTAAAAGAGCCAAGGAGAACATTAGGGAGAAGGATACTGCAGACAGGAATGATAACTAAACAGAGAAAGCTGCTCACACACCCAGGCCTCTGAAAAAGCCATTAAATATTCTTATCAGACCTCAGGGGCCGGACACCTTCCCCCAGAGTGAGAAGTGGCTGGAAAGAATGGTGCTTCAACATGCTGCCTCCTGGTGAGCTCACACACAGATCTACAGCTCAGAGTCAGCTCCTCACTGACCTTCACCCCTCATCCTCACTTGCAACCTTCCGCCTTCCAGGGCAGTGGTGTCAGGGGAAGGATGTGGTGTTAAGGGCTCTGGACTACACGGAGCTGGGAAACCCTGGTGACCACACGCCACCCAGTGGCCAGTCCTGCCAGTCGCTCATGTGGGAAGTGCAGGCAGAGAGCAGGCGGGGGCACCTACAGAGCTGACAGCTGTCCGAGGCTGAGCGGCAGAGAGAGCACTTTCTCCCTGCAGGCTTTGGGTGCCTCTGGAGTAACATGCATGTGGTGGCTGAGAGCAGGGGTTAGGTGAGACATGGCTGCAAATCCCAGCTCAGCCCCTCACTAGCTGGAGGACCTTTGGCAAGGGGCTTTACCTCTCTGGGCCTTTATTTCCTCATCTAGAAAACAAAGATAATACTAATGCCTACCCTATGGAGATTGTTATGAGAAATCAAAATAAACCAACACACAAGGAGCATCTGCAGAGTCTGGCATCCTGCCAGAGTTCAAGAACTGGTAGCTGCTACTACTATTACTATTCAGGAAGAAGTGACCCAAGCAAGGGGAGGGTGGGAGTGCTCTGCAGTTTCCAGGGGATGTGCACGCAAAGCTCAAACAGAGGGTCTCCACGCCCATGCCCAGGTCCCTCTGCTCCTACTGCTGGGCACCCCAGCTTCCCTCTGTCCATGAAGGCCAGCCCCGTCCTCTCCGAGGGCTCTGGCTCTGGCAGGAATGGCTCCTTCATCCCAAACTCATTTCAGCACTTGCTGAAGGTATTTTCTGGATCTCATTCTTTCCCCTCCTACTGAGTGTAGGGGAAACAAAAAACCAGCCTGGAGCCCAGCTGAGAGATGAGAGCAGCACACAAAAGCACAATTTCCCTGGGATGACTCCTTTGGAGTGACTGGACTAGGGGTGAGGGCGTCCTTCTCATGTCCTGCTGCGGTATGTGGCAGGAGGGAGGACAGCACACAGAACCACCCAAGACTTTCTCCCTCAGAGTCTCCAGACCATCAGCCCCACGCCTCAGCACCGTGGGGGCCAAGCAGCTCTCAAGCCTCTGAGGAATGGTCTCTATTGTCATAATGGGCTGAAGAACGGGGACCCATCCTGCCTGGGACCTCCATGAGAGGCAAAGGCTGTCTTGCTGTAGGCTGCAGCATCCTGCAGAGGGTCTTCCCAGTGTAATCACACATGCATGTGACCAAGCCAAGTGGGCCAGGGGCGCCGGGACTGGGTGAGGTGGGAAGGACTAGGCTGGCAAGAAGTCCCTAAGGACTGGCACACATCACCCCGAGGTAGCCCCAGCTGCTCACAGGGCTGTGCCAAGAAGGGCAGGCTCAGATCCAACAGTGAGGGCTGAGGGCGGCTGAGTCAGCACTTGGCCCTTGAAGGGGACCAGGGCCTGCATCTGACTCAGCAGCATGCAGCAGCAGAAAGCCTGGGTTTAAGTAGGGCAGCACTGGCAGTGGGTCTGGAACCAGAGAATAGGATGCAGCGAGGGAGAGGCAGGCCACATCTCCCCCTCAGAGAGGAAGGTGTGTTGCAGAGAACACAGCACAGGCTGTACAGTGTGAGATGTGGGTTCGAGTCCTGACCATAACACCTCCTAGCTGGGAGGCTGAGGGCAAGTCACTTGGGCTCCTTTGGCCTCTTAAATGGGGGGGATATCAGCCACCTTACAGAGCAGTTGAGAGGACTAACTGCTTTGCAGACGTCAGGTCCTCAATAAGTAGGAGCTGCACTCCATGAAGTAGCCACCCTCCCAGGAAACTACAAAGGGATAAGAAGGCGTGGCTAGTGCCAGACCTCAGGGTCAGACTGGGAAGGAAGAAAGGAGTTTCAGAAAATTGTCCTCTCCTTCACAATGGCATTCCAAGGGCCCTGCTTTTCCAATGACCACAGCAGGGAGTGAAAGGCCACACTGGGGCCCAGACTGAGGTGGAGAACTCAGGCAGGGAGGCAGAACCACAGTCACTGAATCAGCTGGGAATATGTCCAGGTGTCAGACATCTGGCCCTGTGTGCCACCCACCTGTGTGGGGGGTGGAAGGGTGTCCCTGGCAGCACGGGCTGGTGGAGTGTGGCTGGGACTGGAGGGTAGCAGTCCAGCATGGACTGGGAGAGCTGCAGGTCCAGGTGTCTAGCAGACCACGAGCTGCAGGAGGGAGGGGCTGGCAAGGTGCAGTGCACACATCACACAGGGAACTGCACAGACAAGGGAGGCCATAACCCTGCTCACCTTGGCCAGCACTGCCACAAACTTTTTCAGGGCCACCAGGTGCTGCCCCTCCAGGACTGAGAACTTGCCCACTTCTACCCGCAGGATATAGTGTAGTGCAGATTCCAGGTCAGCCATGTAGATCTTGGAGCTGAGGACCCAGAGAGAGGTGGAGAGAGAAAGGGGCATTAACCACAGGGCAGGGGCTGGGGAGGAGCATGAAGGGCTAAAGGGAGAGAAGAGGAGGGGCACTGCTAATGCTCGCAGAGTCCTATAAGTCAGCACTTGGCTCTGCCAGTAATTCACTCTGTGACCTTTGGTAAATTACTTATTTTGAGCCTCAATTTCTCATCTGTAAGATAGGAATAACAATACATTGCTCACGAGTAGGCTGCTAAAGAGAATTAAATAAAAGCACAAATGTAAAACCTCAGCAGCTCCTGGCAGAGAGTAGAGGTTTCACCTCTCCAGGCCTAGGACCAGCCCCTGCCATGACTCACTAATCAGGAAGGATGAGCTTCATTCTCTAATCTGAGCAAAAACCCCTAGCGACAGACAAACAGACCAACAGATGCACATGCACAACGTGGCTCTGGAAAAGCTGGCCCTTTTTGAAATACCAAGGGTTTAGCTGCCCACCAAGGCTGGGGATGGGAACAGGAGGGGAAGCAGGTTTGTATTTCTTTCAGGGCTGATGTCCTCACAGCTGCCAGACCTCAGGTCTCAGGTGGGCCCTATCTCCCATCTCCCTGGAGGGAGGGTTGTAGGCCCCAGCTGGCTGCTCCACCCCATGCCCAGCTTGCTCACCTGGGGTCCAGGTTCCAGGCTCTGATGGGAAGAGGCCCTTGAGTGCTGGCTGCTTCTCTATCCCTGCCTCCTGGGGCCTGGTTCTGGCCTCAGTTCAGCAGTGAACTAGTTCTGTGAGCTCAGGCAACTCAATCTACCTCTCTGGGCCTCATTTACCTCACCTGTAAAATAAACTCCTGCCCCACCTACCTCCTAGCATTGTAGAGAGACAAAAGGTCAACGAACAGCGTGGGCAATGTGACTACCTGTGCTTTACCCTTGGGCAAAGTCCCCTCTCTGTGCTGCACTTTGGTGTCTTTGGGCCTCAGTTTACCTCTCCGTTCTTGTGTTCTGCCTCGAGAAGTGGCCCCATGGCTGAATGAGATAATGTGGGGAAGGTGCTCAGCACCAGCTATTATAACAGTTTGAATGATTTGAATAATCCATAATTTGAACGATCATAATGACCATTCCCACCTCTTCCTTCTCCCTTGATTTACTAAAAATCTTTCCCTTGGTACTTTCCATCCTTAAAGTCCGTCATGCAAAATCCTTCCTAAAATCAGATCCCTTTCCCCCCAGTTCTCTCGTGCAGCCTCCTAGTGGCAGCTGCCTTCCTAACCCAGGTCTGAGCTCGCTGGTCAGATGTTTCCACTTGGTTTGCAGCTGGTGCCTGAGCAAGAGGTCTATGGCTCCATCTCCCTGCAACAACATGCAGGAAGTCCACTGCAAGAACAAAGCCGAGGAACTTCAGAGAGAAGAGCAGCTTTTCACGCACACAAATGTGCACAAAGATACAGGCTGCCTGATAGTGAGCTCCCTGACACCAGAGGCATTCAAGTGAGGTCAGGTGCCTTTCTAGAAGGGATGCTATGAAGGGGACTGTAAGCTCTGTGAGAAGGGCCTGCATCTGCCCTGTACGTATCTGAATCCACAGTGCCGAGCATACAGTGGGTACTCAAAAATGTTTGCTAAAGAAATTATTGCTTGGGTGGGAAGATAGTTTGGAGGCCTCAGAGTATCCATCCAAGCTGATTCTACTTGTTCTTGAATAAAGTGAGGCTTAAGGAATGTGGGCACTGGAAAGCAGTCATTCCATCATGCAGGATAACAAGAAATGATGTCCGGCACTACCCACAGTCAGCACTGGGGCCCTGGCAGACACCGAAGGGACCTCTAGCCAACCACTGCCGCTCTCGCACATCCAAGACTCTCCTGTGCATGGCTGAAGTCAGGGGCCCCAAAGGCCAAGGCCAGAGCTGGGGGGGTACAGGGGGCAGTGGACTCTGGGCTCAGAATGGCATGTGCTAAACACATGACAAGAAACAGGAATGGGCAAGAAAGAGTGTGAGTGTGAAGGGAGAAAGGGGTCTGTGATCTGAGGAAAGGCTGGGGTGGGGGGAGATGTGAGGCGATCTCGGCATGGCCTTACCGATCTGCAAACTTCCAGACAGTGGGAACGATCGTGCTAGAAGTGGTTGGTGCAACTGTGGTGTGGGCAGCCTCCCTGGTGAGCCCAGAGAGCCTCTGCAGGTAAGCGGTATAGAAGGACCTGGATTCCATAAGCCTGTGAGGAAAGAGAACCACAGAGAGGCAGTGAGTACAGAAAAACAAAATCCCAAAGCTAACCAAGGTCAGAAGAGGAAGCAGCAAGGCTCATCTGATGTTTATTAAGAAATATTTGAATTTGGTTCCATCTTGTCCTCAGTGAGGTCAAAATCAGGGTGCCCAGGCCTCACTTTGTTCCCTTAAGCACACATGCTGTGGAAAGCCTTTTTGACACCAGCCTAATGTTGAACCCCCATCTGGAAAAGCAGCTGGACCAAAGAATTCCTCAACCTGCCCTTTCTCCAGGCAGGGCTGAGGTCTGGGGAGGCTGTGGGACAGAGCACCTGGAAGAGCAGGTGAGCCCCTATGGGAACAATGTTAATTCTGCCACAGACAGGAATGGCCGGGTTTGACTACCTGCCCCCAGACCAACAGGTTCAGGATGGCCAATGACCTCCAGGAAGCCGCCCACGCACAAGCTTGTGCTGAGGGACCACAAGGTGACATTACTCCCTAAGGAAGTCAAGGGAGTTTGATATGTGATTTTTTTAAAAAAAATAGATAGCACCCACAACAAAGAGCCAACAGAATTCTCTAAACCCTTTTACAGTCCTTTTGATTTCTTCCTCTCATCTAATAGAGAGGAGACCTCAAGGGCAAGAACTGTCTCTTGAACACAGACTCCCTCTCACCCACCAGGGTCAGGGCCACCTGGAGGGAGAGATGCAGAAGCCAGCAGCAGCGTGATGGGACACCCCAGGGAGCTGGCATCACGAAGCATTGCTTTCCACTCTGCCGTCCTGGCCCAGTGTTTATCCATGAGCAGATGGCTCGGGAGCAGCAGCATCACAAGCAATTTTCCCCTTCACCGACTCCAAGTGAGGGAACAATGCCACCTCTCCCCAGAAGGACTGGCACTTTCCGGGCCTGCCTGGAAAGCCAGCCCCTCCCTGTCCCCTGCGGCCGTCATGCTTCCTAAGCTCTGACAGGCCTGTCCTGGTGCTACCTGGAGATCTGGGCCGGGGCGAGGGTGAGTGGCTGCGCTGCCCAGCCCCAGTGCAGGATGACACTAATGGCCCTGAGGAGTAGCTCACTGGGCACCTGGGGCAAGCCTTGAGCTCCCTGGCCCTCGAGCTCCTGCTGCAAGCCAGGCTGACACCAATCATCTGCCCAGGAAGTGCACCAAGTCACCATCTGGCGCCATTTAACGGGCCATTCAGCAGCAGCGGGAGTCTGACAGAGGGGCTGGGGCTGGTCTGATTGTTTTCTCTCGGCATTTTGGGGCCAGGCTGACACCAATCATCTGCCCAGGAAGTGCACCAAGTCACCATCTGGCGCCATTTAACGGGCCATTCAGCAGCGGGAGTCTGACAGAGGGGCTGGGGCTGGTCTGATTGTTTTCTCTCGGCATTTTGGAACTGGCTATTGTCTGGCTCCTAATGAACTTTTCTGCAATTAGAAAACCAAAGGGAGGGAGGGTCAGGCATACTTGAGTCCTTGCCAGGCCTATAGCCTGCCACTGAGTCTGACTGTGAACAGAGGCGGATGGGGAACAGGGCCAGGGCTGCAGTGGGGCTGGTGCACAGCAGGAGGGTGGGCACCCATGCTGGGTGTGCCAGGGGCTGAGGCAGGATCCCTGAGCTGTGGGGGCTGGGAGCAGTGTTCTGGGCCCAGTCTCCTTGCTATGATGGCACTGTCCCAACCCGACAGACAGACAACTGCTCCTCCTGCAGGAGATGCTCCTCACCTGCCCATGGATTCCTTAGAAAGAACTTATCCCCACTGTGAAAAGCTGGAGCCTCTCTAGGCAGGAAAGAAGGATGAGCACAGGGAGGAAGTAGAGAGAAGGCAGGAGACACCACTCACACAGGGACTCGGGAGACAGAGCCATTCCGAAACAGCAGGTGGCAAGATGGGAAGTCGGTGACTCCAAACTTGTTCACCACCTCGTCCTCCGTGTTCAGGACCCTGCGCACTGCCATGCCTTGGTACTGGGACAAGTCCAGAGCCACCTGCAGAGACAACAGGACATCTGGGGGCGCCAAGCCATTGGTAGAGGGAGCCAGGGGCTGAGTCCTGGCTCAGTGCCCTGGGCAGGGACCCAGGTGGCAGCTGTGTTCTGTTCAGACACTGAATCTTTCAAAGAGGGGACCATGATGATGAGTGAGAGACTCTCATGCCACCACCACATCTAACCCACAGGTAACAAGTGCCAGACACTGCCCAAGAGGAGGGGCCTTGGAACTGGGCAGACCACACATTTTGAATTTCCTAGGACAGTCCCACTTGAACATAATTTTCTTTCCAATGAAAGCAATTTGTAAAAGGCATAATAGAATGTGGTTTCATTTTTATTCTTAGATTTATAAAGCTTTCTATCTATATCTCAAATCAGAAAAATACATTTATCAGATATGATAATTTTACTTTTAGAAAGAAATAAGGGAAAACATTAACTAACATTTATTATGTATTATGTACAGATTGCCTCATTTAATCTTCAGAATAACACTGAAATGAGAACTATCATGAGGGGACTAATAGAGACGGTGCAGTATACCGTGGCTGCCTGCAGCTGAATTCTGGCTCCACCAGACTCGACCTCTCTCTGACTCAATTTCCTTACTTGTAAAATAATAGTAACAGTAACACCAACCTTAGAGGGCTGTTTTGAGGATTGAATGGGTTAATTTTACAAAAATGTTTGTAACAATGACTAGCACATAAGAGGTGTATAAGTATTTACTTAAAAAATAAAGCTCTTATTTTGTAGCTGAAGAAACTGAGGCTTAGAAGTGAAATCATGTCCCCAGGTCACACAGCTAGCATGTGCCTGAACTGGGCTAAAAATCTCAGCTCAGTCTGGCTCCAGAGCCTGGGTTCTTAGCCACTAGGTCCTCTGGCCTCTCAAACTAACCATCCTGAGCACCTCTGCATGGACACAGGGCCCTTGGCTCAGTCCACCGGGGCCCCTGTCCCTGGTTCCTCAGGGTACTCAGGGGGGATCAATGTTGGATAAATTAACGGATGGATAAATGTTGACTGATTCCAATCAACATTTATCCATCATCCCTATAAGACAGGTATGGACTGAGAGTCAGGCACCCCTCGGTAAAGCTGTCTGCCCCCTCCCCACCCCTGTGCCTCCCCTCTCAGGGCTGAGAGGCCTGCAGAGTTTCTAGATTCAGCTCAAACTCTCAACTGTGCTTGATGAGTTTCAGCAAAAAAAACCATTCAGAGCCAACAGTGGTGTTTAAGCTCATCCCACTCTCATGTCTTCTCATTTTCCCTGCACTGCCTTGGAACATCTCCTGTGCACCGGTGCATCCCACCTTTGCATCTGGGAAAAGCTTACCAGTGGTTTGTGGAGAAGTCCATGAGCCCTTGGCAGAATGAAGAGCTCTCTGCATTAGGCAAGAAGAGTGAATCTTCACAGAGCACCTACGACGTGCCAGCTACTAATCTAGGCACTTTACCTAAATTGCCTCATTTGACTTTCTCAACAATACTATGGAGAAACATAATGATCACTACTCTACAGAGGGGGAAGGAAGGCTCAGAAAAGGCGGGCAACTTGATCAGGGAAAATTCCGATCTGCTTCGCCTGGTAAGGGACCCCCATTTCCTCGTGAGGGGCTAGATCATCTCTAATTTCCATGCCACACACCCCCAAATTTTCACTCCAATTCCATGGTGCTGGTGCAGTGTGGAAATAACATGAGCTTTGGGGCCAGACGGCTGGTTCAAAGCCCTGTTCTACCAGTTTACTAGCTGTGTGATCTTGGACATGTTATTTGATTTGCTTTGTTAATTTTGGGGATTTGCAACTACATGTGTAGCAATCTAGTCAGATGCTCAATAGACAGTAGGGGTTATATTTGGTTTCAGTGAGGAGATGAGAATAGACAGAAAGCTTTTAAAATGGAAAGGACCAGCTCCTACACTTTCCATTTCTCCCAGCAGGGGTCAGGCCAGTGCCAGTCTAAGAAATGCACACGGACAGGATTCTAGAATTGGCAGGAAAAGCCCTGCTCCTGAACTGGGGCTTTCTCCCAATCGCTATCCAGGAGTTGCAGGGACCCTGTGGGCAACTCACCTCTCTACCCAGGTAGGAGCCTTCCTTTTCAAAGATCAGGGCCAGGTACTCTTCATTGTTTCTTGCAAAGAATCCATCAATCTCCTCTATCCTGAAAGAGACAACTTTGGTCATCACCCTCCACAGCCAATGGGAATAAGGCAAACTGCTGGCGACTCCAGACGCAGATGATGCGGCACTGTGAGCACAGCCAGCCACGTGGCCCTCCTCTGCTTCCGCATAAGGCTTTGGGAAAGTCTCCCATGACAGTCCTCCAGTGGGAGTAAACCAAACCCTAGTCTCAAAGGATGCTGCCCTGTTACCCAACCCTGGTTCTTCATTTGACCCACCTTGGTTTTTGTGTTTTCTTTTTTCTTCCTGTCTCTTAAAGAGAGTGAGTAGGAGGCCATCTGAGGAGAAGGACTGGGAAGGCATGCTTTGGGACCAGTTGTCTCCATGTTCTGGGTAAAGTCCAGGCTTATTGGATATGGTTTTTATTGGTCTCCTGAGAGACTGGTGATTGGAACTCAGACACAAGATGGGCATTGTCCTATCTTGAGTTCTCATCCAGAAGTGGGGGACCTAGTGTTTTTAATTTGGGGAAGTCACTACCAACTGGAGATTTGCTTTTTCCTTTCTGGAGCAGGCATAAAAAAGGAATAAAGCAGCAGGAAGTCCTGGGTGCAGGGATTTTAGAAACTACCTAATTCAGCCTCTTTATTTTAAGATGAGAAAACAGAGGCCTGGTTTCCTCAGTTGGAAACAAAGGTGGAAATTGAAAAGAAGGTAAATTTTATTATCTTCCCAATCAGAGAATGAAGACAAATTGTCTTAAAAACTCAGTTTCAACAGAAATTAATATCAAATTGATTTGTTTCCTTATCCCAATTAAGAACCGAACATCATCACACATACTTAACAGGCCAGCAGGTAAGAAGACATAGGTTATCCTCACCCTAGAGACCTATTTCCCACTACTAGACCCAATGACATGGCAGTGACCACCTCCAAACAGAAGTTGCAACATGAGGCCAATGCTGGAGCCCAGCCCAAGGACAGTACAGATGGCCATGCTAGAGAGGTAGGGCCACAGTGCACCCCACTGTGTGGGTGAAAACAGGTGTCTGGATACTGATAGCCTGGGTGTGGTATCAGGCAGCCAGCCTCTCAGACCACTCCTCCACACCTCCCCTTGGCTGGCAGAAGAGCAGGTCCTACATGGGGCCAGCACCCCTCTCCCACATCCACCCTCAGATTTCTGAAGAGGCAGCTCACCTTTCATCACAGGTCTCTGCCTCTTTCCTACAGTTCTTTAAAAGGATCACTTTGAGAGAGGTTGGCAGGTTTGCCAATTTGTTGCTTTTCAGATCCCCCAGGGCTGAAAATGCACCATGAGAGATGTGCATGTGTGTGTAAGAAAGAGAGACAGAGACACAGTCATCAAGAAACGGAAGGAGGACCAGGGTACAGGCTGGCCTGGATGTCTCCTGGAAACAAGGAACCCCAAACCACATCAAGACTGTATGCTGGGTCCAGGGTCTCCGAGAGGCCCTCTGGGAAGATGGAGAATTGGAAAAATAATAAAGGAGTTATTGTGAGTTGGATTCAACCCCAATCAACACTTGAAAACGCACTCTCTGAGCAGGGCTGTGGCTCTGAAGAACACAAGCACACAAACTTAGAGAGCCTTCCAGCACCTGCCTCATGAGGCCTTCTCAGCCCCTTGAACCTTCACTGTATTCAAAGCTGGGCTCCCTCTAGCAGTCCCTGCTGGTTCATGGGTCTGTTCTTCACAAGAGCCCCCTGAGGTGGGCATTATCCTGTCTTGAGATCTCATTCAGAAGTGGAGAACCTAGTGTTTTTAATCTCCTGTCTCTCACCTTGGGAGAGTTAGGGCAAGACACCATGCACCTCACTGTTCTCATTTTCCTAGAAAAGAGGCAACCCAGGAAGCAGGCCTGGCAGGCAGATATAGGACATCAGCTACTGCACCTGATGGTCTGCAGCACAGGGAGCTGAGGGCCACTTCCCATCCCTCAGTCACAGCCACTGATCAGAAAAATGACCACCTTCAGTTCTCAGAGACAGGGTTTTAAAAGCTTCTGAACACCACCTCCTCCCCCTTTCCTCTGAATGAAAATGCCCCCTCTGACTCTCAGTGGCCTTCCCTGGGGTAGAGCATGTGAAATCCTGCTGCATTCCCCAGACATTCCTGAGGACAGGTGGTCAGAAGCAGCAGCAGGGAAAACCTGGATAACTCCTACCCACCTTTTCCTTCCTACCAGGTAGGATGGGCCTTGCACCCATCAGCCTGCCCCAGTGAGGCAGGGCTCCTCAGTTAGGACCTGCAGCAATGGGAAACTTGCCACCTGCTGCCAGCCACCAGCTGCTCTGGAGTGGCTCTGGACTCTGGCAGACTGTGGAGTTGGCCTCACAGCAAGGGTAGCAGGAAGAATCAACATGGGTCCCATACCCTGCTGTTCCCACCACCCTCTCACTCCCAGGCCTGGGATGCTGGCCCATACTGCACTAAGACTACCCCAGCCCAAAATACTTGGCAGGCTCCAGTGGGGGGCAGGCTGGGGGCCACGTGTCACGATGGGATTCCAGGGCGTCAACGAGCCTCTCCCGTAGAGTTTGCACATCAGCACCAGCCACTGTAAATGAAAACGGGCATGGGGAGGGGCGTCAGGACAGAAGAAGGATCCCAGTCAGCTTCACTCACAGAAGCAAAGCACCTAGGGCATGAGCTTGTTCTGAGAGAGACAGGGCAGACGTCCATCCTCCATATCAGAGGAATGTGGCTGGGGGCTCCTCCTGTGTCCCTAAGCAATTCAAAGAGACTATCCCTCAGAGTACAGGAAAGTCCATCAGAATCGCGTCTCATGAGGGCTTTCCCCAGGGGCTATCTGGTCTTTCCTGTGCATGCCAACCCCATTTTGACATGAAGGCTATTCTGGGAACCTGGTGCCCCTGCCCTGCACCCCAGGACCTTGGACGGGCCAAACGTGGTGTAGGGCTCTTTCAGCCTAGCTTTCCCTAAGGCACCACCCAGGCTGACTGGGAGAACCTTTTAGGGAAACACAAGTTAGGCTTCCCTTGGAGACCTCCTCATCCTTCAAGACCTTGCCTGTTGTCAGGGTTTTTGTCAGCCCAATAAAAATCCAGGTAAAAAAAGGGAGGCAGGGAGAAGAAGACATCAACAGGGCCAACAGGATCACCAGAGCCAGGACACCCACCTGACAATGTTGCTCCTGAGCCATTCTTGGAAAAGGCCTTAAAGAACTGGAAGCAAAGACACAGGCAAGAGTCAGTGATATACAGTGGTAAAGAGCACAACACTGGGCCAGACAGATCTGCTACTTATTAAATGCTGTGACTTTGGGTGAATTACTTAACTCTTGTGAGCCTCAGTTTCTTCATCTGTAAAATGGACAATAGGGAGGTTTTTGCTCTCAGAGCCGGACATTGTTTCGCTTCCTTATTATCCTCATGTCCACCCCCTCCCCCCACAACTCTGAAGCACCCAGGGAACCTGTAGGCAGCAGCTCGTAGACTTTACTAGAGGTGGACTGTTTCTATAAAGCACCAATGCCTAGCACAGAATTACTGAGAAACATTTACTGTATGAATGAATGATGAAGAACCACTGCTGTTTTTCCCTGCAGACCCGTCTGAAAAAATGAAGTGATGTCACTCTGTACATCCCTTGGAAAAGGTCAACTGCTCTCTGTGTCAATCTGCCCTTGTTCCTTGTCTTGGAAAAATGGGCTTGGAGACAGGTTTCTCCATCTACTGAGAACTCCCAGCACGGCACAGCAGACACTCAACAAAAGTAGGGGTCTCCAGAACAGGTCCTATAGAAGGGTGGGCCTGAGCCTCTGGAGGAACAAGCCTTGTTACAGATAGGCCAGTTTACTCATTGCAAAGTCCTCTCTTTGCATGTACATGACACTCCAGGCCTTATCCATCACCTCTGTGGGGCAAGAGGAGAGAACAGACAGCAGCTTATAATCTGGGCTTCTGTCCAGGGGTGAGATAGCTGCTGTGTCTCTTGCTTGTGCTTTCCCAGTTCAGGAGGAAATGAAGCTGAGTTGTCCTGACAGCCACTTAGTTGCCTGGGGTAGAGTTTGTAGGCTGGGAAGAGGCATCTTCTAGAAGGCCCCTAACCTTCGGGCTGCTTCTAACTACCTTGGGCCTCTGCCTCCAACAGCATGGCCATTTGGCCTTATCCCAAGCTGGGGTCTGGCAGACCCGAGTTCAAGGCCTGGCTCTGCTATGCTCTTGCTGTGTGACCTTGGGCAACCTATCAACCTCTCTGAACCTTAGTGTTCTCATCTTTAAAATGAGAATGACATCATCTACCTTAAAGAATCGTGCAAGGATTCAATGACAATACATCTAAAGTGCTTAGCACAGTACCCGGTGCATACAGCAAGGAATCAATAAATGTTAACTGCATCATCACCATCACCACCATCTTCTTCCCTGCTTCCTACCTTCTCAACACTAGGAAATGTTGATCAGTGAGGACTTGTTTGTTCCAGCCATCTGTCAGCAGAAAACTAAAATCCTGAGGCCACCCACCCCCTCTCCCACATGAGGAACAAAGACTGCAGAGAAGCCAGCCATCTCTCCCCACCTGCAACCTTCCCCTGCTCCCTCTGACCTCACCTGGACCCTTACTCTTGCTCCCTGCTTTTTTCTCTCTCCTTTTAAAACATCAATATAAACCTGTATTATGGGAGAAAATCATCTACTTATGCATGCCACACACATTTATAATAGTGTTCTTTACAGTTATTGAACAGATCTTAACCTAATAAAATTATGTTATCCTAATACTTGTAAAAATGCTCACAGATTTCCTGGATTGTGACATGAGATCAAGTCGATAACACATGTCAAGGCATTTGTGGACTGACACTGTTTCTCAGAAACAAAATTGAAAATGCAGCTATCTGGGGTTTGGATTGTTCACAAATAACAAAGTAGAGAGTGATTTTACAGGGGCAGTATTCACAGTGATGGTGCCCTTGTTTATGTACAGACAGGACAGACTTTGACTTGTTTCCACAGACATAAGAACACCACTGACATCATGAAGCCCTGAACCATGTGGCTTTCCTACAGCTACAATGATTATTTTTAGCTCTGAAAAGTAACATGTAATTTTTCTTCATCAACCATCAGGTCACCCAGATCTGAGCAGATGCCTGTACAAAAAGGGGTTAGGATTACCTCCGGCAAAGGACAGCCTCACTGGGACCAGAGCTGAACCTCTCAAGGCCCCAGCCACAGGCAGCTTGGAGTCGGTCCAGGGGCCTCAGTCAGCAAGAGTGACCCAGGGGACTGCAGGGACTCCAGGAGACCCTCCTATGAGGTGCAGGGCTAAAGGAAAGGTTCTCCTTCCACCTCCATTTATCTCTCTGTGTCCTCACTCCTCCTTCTCTTCTGTCCTCAGAAGCTTCCCGTCTACCTTCCAGAACAATATCACACCTGAGCTCTGGCTCCTACACCTCATGCTCTTTAGGAAATTTTTCCTATCAGGTGATCTCTCTTCATCAGTCGCCTTTTCTACTGGTGCCTTTCTGGGCCTACAAACAGATGCTAAACCTCCTAATCTAAATATTAAAAAAAGAAAGGACAGGGAGGGAAGGAAGCTGGGAAGAAAGAGAGGCACTCCTTCCTTCTCCAGTTAAGGCACCTCCCGTTTCTCTGCACTGCACGTTTCTCCAGACAGTATCTGCTCCCTTCCATCCCCACAAGCTGCTGGCTCAGCTCTGGCCCTGCCACTCAGCAGAAAGTGTGCCAGGAAAGCTCAGCGGAGACCCTCTCTTCCAATCCAATGACCACTCCCCAGGCCCTTCTTGATCTCTCCGCAGTACCTGATGTTTTTCCTGCTGCCTTCCCCTCCATGGCTAGTGTCTGTCGTTTTCTGTGCCACCTTGTCTTGATACTCTCCTTTGCCTTCGTGTCGCCAGCCTTCCCTGGTTTCCTTGACACTGGCCAGCCCTTCTTGGCCACTTCACAGCCTTCCTCTCTCTTGCCCTAGCCTTGCCCTTGACTGCTTTCCTTGCCCACTGTCCTCACCATCTCTTGCCCCTGGTCTCTCTTACAGCCACACTTCAGATCACAGCACTCTAATGTTTACAAAGCCTTGAGGGCATTATCACAAACAGGGGGCTCAATCTATACTTTTGAAATGAATCAAGAAAGAAATCTATCGTTTCTCCCTTGGCAATATCATCTATTTTGTCCACATGATTTGCAATTGGAACCCCTATTCTCAGCTCCTCACCTGTCCAAGACTTCTGGTCCCTCCCAATGGCCTTCACACAGGTGTCAGTATACATCCCCCACACACCCAAGACTGAGTCACCTCTTCCCCGCCTGCTTCTCCACCTGTGTTTTTATCTCACCCAGTGATCAATCCTCCTCCCTGTCACCCAGATCAGCATCTCCCTCTCCTACAACTCCATCGTCCAGTCAGCCAACAAGTTCTGTGAATTTGACCTTTGTGATACGGCTTCAATAGTCCTCTCTCTCTTTTTTTTTTTTGTCTTTTTCCGTGTCCGGCAACGGATCGCAACCCTCAGTGTCGCCCCCGTACCGGACCGGGACCGGAAACGGGATCGCAACCCTCGGCCTTGCTCCCGCGCCTCGCTCAGCCAGTGAGCGGGAACCAGTCTGTATGTGGGATCCGAACCCCTGGGCGGGAGCGCCGCCGCGCTTCCCAAGCGGCACACTATCCAGTGCGCCACCGGGCCGGCCCAAGTCCTCTCTTTTTCTACTTCTTGCCTTGTCTAAACAAGGGCCGACAGGTGATAACCTATTTCCTGGATTACTGCATTGATCTCTATCTGTTTTCCCTTCACGTGCTCAGAATTTTTTTTTTTTTTTTTAAGATGACTGGTAAGGGGACCCTAACCCTTGACTTGGTGTTGTCAGCACCACGCTCTCCTGAGTGAGCCACAGGCCGGCCCCAGAAATTTTAATATGCTCAAACTTTTCATGCTCCAACAATCTTCTTCACTGCCTCTATGGTTAGTTTGCTATGGCACAATTCTGGTCTTACCACGTTGTTCCTCCTCAAATCTCTTGCCTGACTCCCATCGCCAATGAATAATGTCCAAACTCTCAGCACTGGAGGCCTTCCAGGATCTGAACCCACTGCCCCCCATTCCCTACACTCCAGCTACAGTGGACTTCAGCCTGTGCTCTCCACTCGCCCACCTCCTTCAGTGGCAGCAGGAAGCTCACCTAGTCACCTCTGCAAGCCGCACAGGGCCCAGTTCCAGCAAGCACACTGAGGTACTCAATAGACATCCGTTCAGTTGAACAGAGAATCTCTGCCCTTTGATCATCCTGGAAGCTCAAGTGGAAATCTAGTCAGGGCACATTTTTGTCCTCTTATTAAGATGCATCCTTATTTATTATGTCAGCTGTTGGAGGTGTGTGCCATGCCCAAGGGAAACCACCACAACTTCTTGGAAACAGGCTATTAAGACTTCAGGAATGAGTTTTCTTTTCTCCGGGAGTAGGCAGCACCCGTCCCTCTCTGCTCATCACTTCACACAGGAGCTTCTGCCTTCCCCAACCACAGAAGACGTCTAGCACCTCCCCAACGGCAGCAAACCAGGTGGCACTAGGCAGGGCTTTATGAATCTATGGGGCAACTGTCTCCCCGGGGGCCACAATGGTGGGAGAGAAAGCACTTTCCATTGGTGGCCATTCATGACACTTAATTCAGGGTTTTACAATAACTTTTAGGATAATGATCCAGGACTCTCCATTCCTGGGCTCCCTCCTCTCCCAGTCCAGCCTCACCCCTGAACATGAGCCTCTGCCCTACCAGACCTGTCTCCTCGACATGCCACACAGCTCTGCCCACACAGGGCCTTGGCTCTCACCTTCTTTTCTGCCTGCCATGCCCTGCCCACACTCCTGCTCTCTCCTGGCCAAACCCCATCCGTCCTTCAACACCAAGTGAAGTCTCCCTCCTTCATGAAATCCTCTCTGATGAGCGAGGGAAAGAGCTCCTGAGCCCAGGTGAACCCCTGCAGCATTCACTGTGTGCAGACCCCTCACTGCCGCCCATCTCAACCAGCTGGTCAGTAAACATGCACTTAGTAGCAGCTGACGGATAGACTGCCTGAAATATAGTAAGCACAGAGAAGCTGCCAGCAGCCCCATGGGGTGAGCCAGGGAGAAGATGGGATAACAGGAAGGAAGAAAACTGACATTTACTGAACCCCAAATAATATCAGTGTCTCAACACTTTCACTGTAAGACCTCACTTCACACTTGGCAACAATCCTATTAGGTAGATATTAAAACCCCATTTTTACAGACATGGAAACTGAGGCCCTTGGCTGAGGCACTGTTGAGTGATTTCCCAAGTCACATACAGTAAACAATGGAGCCAGGATTTGAACCCACACCAATTATCCCTAAGAATCTTGCAAAGGGAAGGGCTCATCCTTTCCCACCCCAGTGCTGCTGTTCTGTGTCATCTTTTTCCAACCAGGCCTTTGGCCACAAAGGGTTCCATCACATTACCTACTGAGGGACACTCCTGTGGCCCATGGAAAA